CGCAGGGCAAAGGCGCTGTCCTTCAGATCTTGGGTTCCAAGCGGCTGCTAGGGCCGCTACAAGTATGCATCAACAACCGTAGAGTTAGTAGGAGCCGTTGCTTCATATTTCAGCAGCCATACCTCAGGCAAGGAAAAGTTGCCTTTGTTGCTTAGCATTTGCGGCCAGTCGCCATAACCGTATCAGCGTCCTTGTTCCGAAAAGTGCAAGAGCCTATTCTATATGGACTGTTGGATCACACCGCACCGCGTCCTTGAGGGGCATACTTTCTGTTGGTGGATGACTCATGTATTCTCCGTGTCTGTAGACCTAATATGCTGGTTATCCACCAGACCGCTTGGGTGATATTCAAATACCGCCTTTCTGCATTATTGTTTCGGTGGTATGGTATCCGAAAGCATATTTAGCAGAATTTGCACGTTGTTCGACTTTGAATATTTTCGTAGTTAATAAAGAAAGGAGAGATTTAAAAAAATTTGCATCAAAACTTAAATAAATCATAAAGGGTGATGGCCATTAAACTTGACATGGAAAGGCATCTTATGGGCCATCCCACGTAAGCTTCACAGGCGTTTAAAAATCATTTGAATATTAATAGTGGTCAGAAGCCTTTCCTCTGCAAAACAGTTTCATCTGTCGTTCAAACCACGTATATGTATGTTTTGAAGATAACGGGCGCTGGTACTTGATGACTCTATTTATGTACAGTCGAGATACTAAAAAGCGCAATGCTTTACAGGCAGCACAAAATGTAGTCATTTTTAACGTTTAGGCAAGGTACCTATAAATTACAATTCTGAAGTGAAGGCCATGGCTAGCCAGAGATAATCTGCAGTAAGAGTCGTCAATTAGCAAAAATTAAGTAATCCACCCGCCGTTTGAACACATGAATGGTTTCTGACGCCATTATTATGCTTGGGAAGGAGTTCCGCGGTCGAACTACGTATCAACTGAAGGAAAACTTACGTGGATCTAGGCGCATAACTTCACTATTGGCCGTGTACGGACGGCCGCGCAGGTGATTCGTTTCTGTAAGCTCAAAGAATTCTTCGGGTTTTAGCGAATAG